ATTTTACCCTATTGGGGGTAGTTTCTTGGGTCTGATTATGAACAAAGAACATGCTCAGGACTGTATTTACTGTTAGGACACCTGCATTGGCCAAGTTTATTTCTCTCATTTTTTTATTTTTTATTTTTTTTATTTTAGCGTATTATAGGCGTACAAGTATTAAGGTTACATATATTGCCCATGTCCCCCTCCCACCTCAAGTAAGAGCTTCAAGCGTGTCCATCCTCCAAACGCTGCACATCTTACTCATTGTGGTTGTGATTTGCATTTTCCTGATGATTAGAGATGTTGAACATTTTTTCATATGTTTGTTGGCCATTCTTCTGTCTTCTTTTGAGAAGTTTCTGTTCATGTCCTTTGCCCATTTTTTGATAGGGTTGTTTGATTTTTTCGTGCTGATTTTCCTGAGTTCTAAATAGATTCTAGTTATCAGCCCTTTATCGGATGTGTAGCTTGCAAAAACTTTCTCCCATTCTGTGGGTTGTCTGTTTGCCCTCCTGACAGTTTCTTTGGCTGTGCAGAAGCTTTTTTAATTTGATCAGGTCCCATTTGTTTATTTTTGTTGCTGTTGTGATTGCCTTTGGGGTCTTCTTCATAAATTCTTCTAGATATTTCTCTCATTTCTTTAGAATGTGCAACTATCTAAGATATGTCTCCAAGGGATATATACCAAAGAACATTTTTTTTAAACTTACACTATGATTTAATCTGGTGGCTTTTTCTCCTTGCCTAGTTAGAGCTCAAGGGAAGGATGAGAAGATATTCAAAAGTATGTCGCCTGGGTAGGTCAGAGGAGGTTATTCGACCTAAAAATGTTAAGGTACAATCTTGGGAAAAGATCTTGTAAGAAGGGATACCTTAACCCAAAAAGAAGAATACACTGGAAAGAAAGAAATATTTCCGTGGAGTTGACCTAGTCTTCCAGCTTTTGTGATGGAACGGTGATGGGACCAACAGCCTGGGGACCAAGAAGGTGAACATTTTGTATGATTCTGTGGCATTACTGATTTCTCAATGATGGTTTTTCCGAAGTGATTAGAATAAAAGTCTGACAACAGAAAGGGCCTGTGTGCTCATCTTTGACACTGCAAAGAAAGAGGAAACTGCAGAGACTTTAGCCCTTTGCTCAGCTCTCGGGTATGTGTGTATGTTGGGGGGCAGGTGGGTGCCCAGGGTCAGTTAAAAAGTGAAAAGAAAAGCAGACCGAGCCCTGCAGCCATAACAAGCAGAAAGAAAACGAATCTAAGTGCCCTCCAGGCTTGGCTGTGGACGGCTGTACCTGAGTGGTTGCAGGGCGAGCACTAATAGGCAGTGTGCTCTCCCGCGGACCACCTTTCTGGGGCGAGGCAAGAATATACGCCTGCGGGCATTCATAAGACTTTTGGCGCTAAGCGGCTTCCCTAGTTTGCCCCATAAACTGTGATTGGAAGAAAATGTGAGATCCTTTCCTCGCAAGTGCCCACGCAGGCTTTTTATGGTAGCAAAGGCCACAGTTCACTCTGCCTTTCCCTTCACAGGACACCGTTGGGTGTCGGTGAGGTTCTGATGTCCCCTGACCAGGCAGTCAAAGGTTGTTGGGAGGAGCAGGAGCAATTCTCCCTTTCTGCAGGGGATGCGAGTTGAAAAGAAAGTGAAACAGAAGAAAAGAGCAATGGTGTAGAAATTTTAACCTGGATGTGTCCAGGAACCATTTAGGGGGAGGATGTCCAGCCAGGAGCAGGGACCACGGGGACGGCACACATCCCGGCCACTTACCTATTTCACTCTGACAGCTGTCATCTCCATCCAGCCGGACACAATTGAGGGCATTCCATGCTTTATTTCATTATCCAGGTCATTGTTCCCCTCTATTACTAAGGACATTGACCATAGTTGCATCTGGTGCTATATCTATTCTGATTTAGAGTCTGCCTGCATGAATAGAAGAATTGGGTCAGGCTGAAATTTTTGAAGTCCTACAACCAAGGTTTTAGCACAGTTGTATGAATGTTAAAGGTGAGAAAACAATAGGAGTTGCCTAATTTCTGGTATTCAGACATTATTTGAATAAGTAAATCAGGAGTAATAAATTTTATCATTGTATTTTTACGACAATAGCTCCATATATTCTGTGAAATTTCAGGTTCATATTGAAGCTTTCATTTTAACACTGCCGATACAAAATTGAACTTATGTACATAACCCAGAGAGTAAATAACAACAGGATCCAATGTTAGGAAAATTTTTACTGTGGTTACTTACGTGATAAATAAGCTTTTCCTTCTTGTTTTTCCAGATATTAATGCTTCCTTTAACCTACTTAGTATAGTATAAATAGACAATGTGATCTCTTAAAAAGCATGAGTTTCTATATGTTTATCTCTCTATATTAGTGCACAGTCCTGAAATGAGAAGGGACCCTTATTCTTACATGCAAAATTTCATTGCAATTAATCTTTGTCATTTGATGTGTATGGCAGCATATCAAATAAGCCGAGTCAGGGATTTCTTACTCTTTATCTTCCCTTCCTGGAAAATAAAATAGTTTTGCATCCCAGAAGGTCCAAACTATTAACCAGACAAATAGAAATCATTAAATATGTACTTCAATGTGATTCTAAACCACCTGAAGTAGAGAAAAGGGACAATCTTCTGTGTTGCCAGATTAGATTCTGGATTGCTAACACTGCATCTGTAACTTAAACAAGGGAAAAGATATTCAAAAGTGTTAGAGAATATTCATATTTTTCTACCACTTTGGTTTTAGGAAGTCTTTTCTAAGCCAGACAAGAAGGACTCAAAGATGTTTTTAACTACATAACATCTTCATTTTTTAATACTCTATAGAAAGCACCATAAATTCAATGGACAAACAGACTGAGAAATATTTGCAACGGAGATAGATGTGGCAGATAAAAGTGCATCTGGTGTCTTTTCTGTCCAGCAGCAGAGATATCTTTGTAAATGAAACCAGGTCACTCTCTGAATGAAAACCTTCACCTGTTCATGATTTTGCTCTGAGTAGCAGCCTGCGTCATTGCTGTAACACAGGAGGCCCAGCAGAACCCGGGGCCAGTTACCTCCTGACTTCATCTCCTGCTCCCTCCCCCCACCTGTGCAGTCTGGGTCACACTGGCTTGCTGGCTGCCCCCTGGGCACGCCAGGCCTGCTGCCACCCCAGCCCTCTGCCCTCGCCAATGCTGACTCCTTCCCCCACGATGCTCTTCCTGAAGATACTCACCTGGCCCACCCTGAAGGTCTTTGCTCAGGTGTCCTGTTATCAGTGGGGCCTGCTCTGAGCGACCCACATAGTAAAGCAGCCCCTTCCCACCCGGGCTCTCCCTTTCCCCTGTTTTATTTTCCCTATGGTACTGTGACATCTTCCTCTTATTCTCATTATTTGATTTTAGCCTGTCTCCTGCAGGTAGGAAGTAAACTTCATATGGTCAGGGATTTTGTTCACTGCCTTATCCCCCAGCTCACAGAAGTGGCCTGAGTATAGTATTAATAGGTGCTCGATATTTGTAAAATGGATGACATATAGAGCTCTTGTAAACTGATGGGAAAAAGGTTAAAGTTCAATGGAGACAAAATTCACGGAAGAGATCTAAATGGTCCATGTACATGGCAAAGGCTTAAACCTACAGTAGGAAAGAAAATATACCTAGGTGAATAAGATACTCTATGTTTGCACATCAAGTTGGCAAGAAGGCTGAAATGCAGTGAAACTTGGTGGTGTGGAGGACGTGGGCCCCTGGGCACTCTCCTGTCTTGCTGGTGGAGGCAGGAATTGCTAACACATTTTGGGGAAATAATCTGTCAGTGTCTGTTCAAACTAAATACACATACACGCAGGGAGGTCCGGGGTTTCAAGGGGCTCAAAGCTTAAATTTTATTAGCTTGATTCATTTTAGCTTTTCATTCATTCTTTTAAGAAATTAGTACAAAATTACAAGTACATAATTGCATCTAGGACTGTCTGAAGGGCTTGTGCAACTAGGGGTGTAAAGCTCAAGCTTTGTGAGCTGCTTTGCAAATCCTGCTCCATTACATGTACACGTTGACCTGTAGCTCCACTTCTGGGGACGTGTACTATGGAAATTAGAGTCCCAGTGCACAAAAGATGTATGTACATGGATATTTACTGCAGAATTATTAATAGTGGAATACAAATTGGTGATAATCTTAATGTCTGTCAATAATGAGAAGGTGAGTAAATATAGTACATCCATTCTATGGATTACTATTCGGCTATTAAAAATAATAACTGTGATATTATATAAGAAAACGAAGCTGTACAATAATGTAACAGATATAGTCCATTTTGATAAAAGTTAAGACAGTAAGCAAGAACAAAAGCAAGAGCAATGCCACATCTGTTTGAGTGCATATTTACAAACATGCATATGTGTGTGTGTTTGTGTATTTACATGAGCAATATAAAGGTATGGAGAGATACAAATTATTAACACTGTGCATCTCAGGTTTGGGTTGAGGTGAATGGATGAGGGAATGAACAGCAAATTTTTCTTTAGGCATCCTTGAATTATTTGACTAGTTTCAAAGAACACATCGATGTTTTTATAATTAAAAAAATGAAAACTTTAAAAGAAAAAAGACCATCCTCTCATGAAATGTAGCAATGATTTTAAGGTGAAGATGATGATGATACTGATAAAATATTTTGATTTTTGCACATTGGCATGAAGCTAGGCAAAGTTTGCTGTCTACTCTCAGGAAGCAAACAAGCTAAGACAAGAGAAATGATAAAAAAAAAGGAAATGTTTAGAGTGTTCATCAAAGAAACAATAAAATGCAAGCTATGCTTAAAAAGAACAGATGATGGAGTGGAGTTATATAACACCACAGCAGAGAACTGGCATAATCACCAAAAGCAAACAAGCAGAAGTTTCAGAGGCAGTCTCCAGGGGCAGTGTCCCCAAGAGGGACAAATACCCCAAGAGCATGGGGTCAAGACAGAGACTGAGCAGGTCTAATAATGATGTCACAATGCCCATGTTAATGAGCATTCGCCATGTGCCAGGCACTACTGCCTAGGTCATCCCATTTTCTCATGGTCTATGTAGTGGGTGCTCTTAGGATGCCTGTTTTACAGAAGAGACAATTGGTTCAATGAGGTTCACAGGATTAGAAGGTGGTGCAGCAAGTTCTGGAGCCCAGGCCGTCTGATAGGAAATCCTGATGCCTTATTATCACGATACCCAGCCTCCCAGGAGTATGGTGCTAACGGGTATGGGCATTTTAGAATCCTACACACTAAAGGATATCTATCAGGCAGGAGGTATTAATACTAAATGAGTTAATAAGACGCCAAGATGTGTAAGAAAATACTTGCCAGTAAGAACATACAGCTTTAGAGACAACAGATGTGCAATTGTGTTGAGGAAGGTGGGTCCTGTCTGGTCCCCATTTGTCCTGAGCCAGGGGTCTGATGAATTCCATCATGGCACACAGCATAGTCAAGAAATAGGTTTTCCTGGACAAGGAGAAGCATACATGAGCCAAGGGGAAGGATAAGAAGGGAAGGATTGTTTTATCTGTCCCCCAAGAGGCATGTCAGGGTCTGGGTGCCCTGGACTGCGGTGTGGGTCTACTGGACCCGGAGAGACGGCTCTCTGTGGTCTCTGTTGTTGTAGGGTAAGCGATGGGAAGGCAGCTGTGTCCGTTTGTGTGTGTGGTGGGGGCGGGTTGGGTTGCCATATACAGTACAGGATGCTCAGTTAAATTCAAATTTCAGATAAATGCTGAATACATTTTGGCGTGTGTGTCCTATATAGTGTAACGAATAAAAAATTATATGCTGTTTTTCTGAAATTAAAATCTAACTGGAAGTTTTGGGGGTTTTGCCATTCTGGTTTTTTTTCCCTTAAATGAGATAACTCTACCAAGGAGATTCACAGGCAGCTTGGTGCCAGGTTAACGGGATTGGGGGCACAAGCTGTTTATATATAGGAGTTGTTTGGAAATTCCAGCTGCTCCTGTGGGAAGCAGAGTCAGCTATAGTCCCTTTCCCTGGTAGCTATCTTTTCCTGACAATCAGGGCCACTTTCAGACAATTTCTGTTCATGATGCTTTACTTGTTCTAGGACTTTGGAAACATCTACCTCCCTTGGGGCTAAGGTATCTCATCTGTAAAATTTGTTCACCATGTATTTATTGAGAGCCACAGTGTGCCAGGCACACAGCATGGGTACAAAGAAGACTCTGGAACTTTTGACTTAAAGGCTAGTTAAAGAAGCAAGGAAGTAGCTAATATATTTGGGATGTTAAGTGCTATGACAAAGAAAGGCATTGGGTCTTTTGGGTGCAAAAGAAAGGCATTGGTCTAGTTTTGTGCAGTTCTTGGAAGGTTTCCTAAAAGAAGTCTTTTTCAGAGTTAATCTAACCTGAAGTTATCTGAAGTTATCATCTACCTGAAGTCAGGGGACTAGACCAAATGACCTCTTTAGTCCTTCCACAGAGTTCTGTAACACTGAGCAGGATGAATGAATCCTATGAAAGGAGGACTTCCACTCAACTGCTAGACTCACCTGCCAAAGAGAGGGAAAAAAGGACTTTGAGAGATTTAGCTGTAGTAACCGTTAATCATTGCTACAGGCTGTGGAATCTCTGATAAGGTCAGATCTTCCAGAATTGAGGAGAAGACTCTACACAGGTCTGAAGTGAACCCTGATCCAGAGAAGCGTATATAGAAAATGAGATCCTGCTGCATCCCTCCCTGAACTGCTTTTTTTCTATTCCACCTGCCACTGTTTCTTTCCAGAGACTAGAAAAATGAGCAGCCTTCTGGACCTGCAGAATGAACAAGTGATTGTCTCATCGGCCATGAAAATGAAATTGTTTACACATCCTTTCTGTGGCGTTGCGTTCAAATCTGTTGATTAGAAAAGAAGAAAAAAAAAATCATGACCTAAATGAACACCAGAGGAGGACAAGGGGGACAGAACAGATGATATTTATGACTGGTTGAGAATTTCCATCTCAGCAGCTAAAATGATGAACTTGGGATCACTGGAAATGGAAATAGTTGACTTCACAGATGGTAGGCGGCTCTTGTCGGAGAAGACTGCTCTGAGTGTGAGCCTAATTGAGTACTTCATATCTGTATAAATTAACATCTTTTAAAACTATAATATTCTCGGGAGAATTTTTAGGGTAAACATTTAGAGTTTTCCAGATTTCTTCAGTGGGAAACTTATTGCTGACCAAAGGTTAATTTCACCAGTTCAAAGATGATAGGTTGGAAACTCAAGGATACAAAGATTTGTCTTATAAATGATGCAAACATTTGATAGCTAAAGATACACTCTTTCTCTGGCTCTCATGATGTTCTTCTGTATGTTCTGTTGTTTGAACAGTTCCTTTGGGAAAACATCTGCCTACTTGAAATCTTATTAGGAAAATAACTTCATTTAAATCTTTCCTCATAGTCCTCTCATGAAAATTTCAGTGTACAGTAAGTCAGGCTAAGGAAAATGGAAGCAATTACATATGTTTAAATTAGCCAATTTTAAAAATTTTCTGAAATAACCTATAGTAATTTTTATATCTGACTACACGTTTAACACTGAATATCTGTCATTTTCTTCATTAGACTCTTTAAGACTGGCCCAATATACCTAGAGCTCATGTGAGGTTGTATTGGTCCCAGTTGTTCCTGGGAACTGTAAAACTAGACACTGTTAATTAAATTCACAAGTGTAAACCTAAGTGTAAGGCTCACATAGGAAAAAAACTCTTTCTTTCTTTATTTAAATGTCATAATATTATGGGGGTACAAATGTTTGGTTACATGAATTGCTTTTGCACAGTTTGAGTCAAATTTATAAGTGTGTCCACCACCCAGATAGGCATTGTACCTGTTAGGAGTGATTTTATCCATCTCCTCTTCCCTCCTCCCACCTGTCTGAATCCGATCGAATTTTACGACCGTGTATGCATGTGAGTTGTTGATCAATTAGTTTCAATTTAATAGTAAATGCATGTGGTGTTTGTTTTTCCATTCTTGTGATACTTCACTTAGAAGGATGGTTTCCAGCTCTATCCAGGTTGTTACCAAAGGTAATAGTTCACCATTTTTTATGGCTGAGTAGTACTCCATGATACACATATCACACATTTTATTAATCCACTCATGTATTGATGGACACTTAGGCTATTTCCACATCTTTGCAATTGTGAATTGTGCTGCTATAACATTCGAGTGCAAGTGTCTTTTTTATAATATGTCTTTTTATCCTTTGGGTAAATATCCAGTAGTGTGATTGCTGGATCAAGTGATAGTTCTACTTTCAGTTCTTTGCGGTATCTCCATACTACTTTCCATAGAGGTTGTATTAGTTTGCATTCCCACCAACAGTGTATGAGTGTTCCTTTGTCTCCATATCCAGGCCGGCATCTGTCGTTTTAGAACTTTTTAATAAAAGTCATTTTCACTAGAGTTAGAGTTAGGTGATATCTCATTGTGTTTTATTATTATTATTATTATTATTCAGGATATTATGGAGGTACAAACATTTTGGTTACATGAAATGCATTTGCCTCACTCAAGTCAGGGCCTCAAACGTGTCCTTCCCCCATACAGTGCTCCCTGTCTCCATTAGCTATGGGTTTACTCCCTGTGGTTTTGGTTTGCATTTCCTTGATGATTAGAGATGTTGAGTATTTGTTCATACATTTATTGGCCATTAGTTTATCTTTGTTTGAAAAGCTTCTGTTCATGACTTTGCCCACTTTTTAATGGGGTTGTTTGATGTTTTCTTGCTGATTTGTTTGAGTTCTTTTAGATTCTGGTTATTATCCCTTTATTGCATGTGTAGTATACAAATATTTTCTCCCATTCCATAGATTGTCTATTCATTCTGTTGATTGTTTCCTTGCATGTGCAGAAGCTTTTTAATTTAGTCAGATCATAATTATTGATTTTTGTTGTTGCCATGATTGCTTTTGGTGTCCTCTTCACAAATTCTTTACCTAGGCCAATGTCTATAAGAATTTTTCCAATATTTTCTTCTAGCATTATTATAGTTATATGCCTTAGGTTTAAGTCTGTTATCCATCATGAGTTGATTTTTGTGAGTGGTGAGAGATATGGATCCTGTTCTAGTCTTCTAAATGTGGCTATCCAATTTTCCCAGTATTATTTATTGCATAGGGATTCTTTTCCCCAGTGTATGTTTTTGTCTGCTTTGTCAAAGATCAGATGGCAATATGAGGGTGGTTTTATATCTGGGTTCTCAGTTCTGTTTTATTGGTCTATGTCTCTGTTCTTGTGCCAATACAATGTTATTTTTGTTAATATAGCCTTGCAGTATAGCTTGAAGTCTGGTAAGGAGATGCTTCCTCATTTGTTCTTTTTGCTTCAGGTTGCTTTGGCTATTCAAGATCTCTTCTGATTCCATATGAAGCATAGACTTATTTTTCTAGATCTGCAAAAAAAATGACATTGGTATTTTTATGGGAATTGTATTGACTCTGTAAATCACTTTGGGTAGTATAGACATTTTAACAATGCTGACTCTGCTGATCCATGAGCATGATATGTTTTTCCATTTGTTTACATCCTGTGTGATTTCCGTTTCAGAGTTTTGTAGTTCTCCCTATAATGGTCTTTCTCCTCCTTGGTTAAGTATATTGCTAGGTATTTTATTTTCTTTGTTGCTATTGTGAAAGTTATTGAGACTTTGGTTTAATTCTCAGCTTGGCTGTTTTTGGGGTATAGAATGCCTTTTCTGCACAAGACCCCAAGGGGAGAGAGGTAGGACTATCTGTCCACAGGGGTCTCTGCCAGGGGCACACTCCTCTTTGGGAGAAGGGTTACCTCATGAGTTTCTTGGCTCAGGCTGAACTTCCTATTGTAATGAGTCAGGGAAGGGGCTGCTGTTCTTGTTCTACTGGCACGCCAGAGGCATTCGTTTGTCATGAGAACCAGGGACTGTGCTAATTCACTCCAGGTGCCTCATCCTTATCCAATATGGTGGTTCTCCAGTGGTGGCAGGGGATGCGCATGCTCACAGATTGCCATTCCTTAGTGCCTCTCCACACTCTGACCTTGGATATGTCCCTAAAGGCTTCCTTGCCACCTGTGTCCAGAACCAAGCTCTCTCCCCTGTGTCTCCCTGCACCACCCTCATGTCTTGGGGGGACATTAGTTTTGACCTACTTGTCTAAGTCACTGGTGGCAGGAAGCTCATAAATCGTGGTGGCCCCCGCTCTCAGTTTTCAGTGGTAGGCTCAGCTGGGAATGCGCACCCACTGTGGAGACCCATCCATTGGTGTGCTACTTCAGAGTATTTTTCAGAGTATTTTTCAGGCTGTACTGGGGTATTTTTCAGGTTGTATTTTTCAGAGTATTTTTCAGGTTGTAATGGGGTGAGGGGACACGGCTACCAGTGAGCCTGAGAGCTAAAACTATTCTCTGTAATGTTGAGATGGGAGGCGGTGTGGAGGAGGAAGTGTCTAGGTGTAAGATAGCTGGCACTCCAGTCTCTCATGTCACTCTCCTAAAAGTGTTCCTTTTGACCACCAAACTCCCATGGATAGCTGGGTCACCCTGCTATTCCTATTTAGCCACCATGCCTGGGCTCGTTGGGGGTGGGAGTGCCTCTAAAGTGTTTTATGTCCCAATGCTCAATGTCTCCTTCTCTTATGTGAAGGAGGAGAACCCCTACCCCCTTCACTGGGCTCTCTGGGTTTGGACCATGCCACTGTCTTCTTTTCTCTGTTTTCTTCTTTCTCAGCTTCACATTTTTTCTCATTTGGGTCTCCAGACATCTCCGTTGTCTCTCCCTGTGTACCAACCACACTGGAGCTGCAAATCTCTCTGCTTTTCTCAATCCAATATTCTACCTTCCAGTGGGGAGGATGTAATGTCTCTAGTTGGCCATCTTGGCTCCCCCCACCTTTTTTTCTAAGGAAAGAAAACCATGTAAGGTGGGGCCATAAACATGAGGAGGAAGACAAATCCATAGTAGACTTGTTATAATTGTAGTTTTCCTAATAATCTTGGGATCCACAAAGAACTTGTTGGTAATGGTGTCTTCTGGGCATTGAAGTAAAATTCAAAAGCTCTCTCTTTGTGTTTTTAAATTTCAACAGTAAATATTTATCCTTTTAAAAACATTCAAACATAATACATTCAAATATAATGTGATGCAGAATAAAATAAAAATGTTCTCCCCCAGCCCCTCCTGTCCCCTACCCCACCCAAGTTTTACTCCTCAGAAGGCACAATTTTTAATTTTATCTATTTTTGCTCTTTCAGTGTCTACCTCCATAAATCTAAATCATGTGATGATGGCAATATTTCTTACTATACTTTAAAAAAATGTAAATGTATCCAGTAACTTCCCATTAGGAAAGATGAGGAATTCAGCATGCTTAATCTTCTCTCCATTCCAGTTCCCACTCTTCACTTTTTGTTAGCTGTGTTATAAAGTTTGGATCTTGTTTTGATTACCTTCATACTTCTAAATAATGTACTCCCACCTCTCGTAATCCATCAACTTTAGACAATATCTCCAGATACCTTGTGGGAGAGGAAATACAGCTCTATCATTCCTCCTGATAGCAGTTCCATCCCTTTAACACTGTCAACATGTCCAGGGCAGTCATCCCTCGGTAGGTATGCTTGAGGATTGGTTCCAGGACCTCCCTCAGCCACCAAAATCCATGATACTGGAGTCCCTTATATGAAAGGGCTTAGTATTTGCAAATAACCTGTACATAGCCCCTAAATAGAATACTTTAAATCATCTCTAGATAACTTATAATACCGAATACAATGTAAGTGCTATGTAAATAGTTGTTATACTGTATTGTTTAATAAATGATGACAATAAAAATGTCTGTATATGTTCAATAAAGATGCAACCATCCATTTTCTTTTTTTGACTATTTTCTTTTTCTTTTTTCTTTTTTTTTTTGAGACAGAATCTCACTCTGTTGCCCAACCTAGAATGAGTGCCGTGGTGTCAGCCTAGCTCACAGCAACCTCAAACTCCTGGGCTCAAGCAATCCTACTGCCTCAGCCTCCCAAGTAGCTGGGTCTACAGGCATGCGCCACCATGCCTGGCTAAATTTTTCCATATATATTTTTAGTTAGTCAATTAATTTCTTTCTATTTTTAGTA